ACCCCCCCCAACCCAGAAATGGATTAAGGGGAAGAAACTGGATGGATGGATTTTTTATTTTAATTTGAAAAAAACATTTAACGAAAAACACACGGACCGTTGTGTTTGTTACGTTTCTCACAGTATTTAAAAATGTACGTTTGGATAAATCCTTGTCTGCATCATTAACACACCAACATGACGTGGCTCTTCTTCTTCTTCTCTCTGGCGCTGAGCAGACGAGCCCCTGAGTGATGTCGCATTACAACAGCATGAAAACAGGAAGTGTCGAGGATGAAAATGCAAATGAGGATAAATGTGTTTTTTGACATTGGCTGCTCTCACAAAGTCACCATGATGCTCTTGTTAGTCAAATATCGTCCTGTTTGTCTCCGTGTCTGATTTGATTAACCGCCTTAACCCGGACTGGACCGGGTGAAGGCGGGCCCCTCCTGCTGCTCCTGAGCCGGGGGTCCCTAACTCCCCGACAGCCAAGAGTCTTATAAAGCTGACGGATGTGCGGATGACAGCTCAATCTCGTAAACGCCGGGGATGGGGGCGGGGCTTGGTGTCTTGCCGCCGCGCTGTGATTGGCCAAACCACTCCATCACATGTGCCAGCCTTGGCCCCGGCTCTAATGTAATGAGTGCGTCTCTCTCGGGCTTGTTTAGGGCCCTTTGTCTCCCGGATAAATGCAATTAAGTGAAATGAACGGAGGCATCGCTAGCAACAAGCAGGTTATTGTCATTAGCAAAGTGGCGCCGAATGGGCTCGGATCTCGTTGCTTTGAAGTCGAGATTGTTACACGCACACATGACGGTTTCTTTGTGTCTTAACGGCTTCTTGTTTCTGTAATTGCGGATTTAAATATTCTCGGTGCTTTGATAAATGTTGTATTTGCCCTGAAGGTTTCACACTAATGTCATGGATTATCTGAGTCTTTTATACAGAGGCATTGAATTATAAATATACATGTGTTTTTTAGATTATATTTTTAAATTCATCTCAATTCAATGTGTTTTCGTTTCGGTCTAAATCTCAGTCGTCTCATGGGACAATACAAAGTTGTCGATTCACCAACAACAGATCAGAGAATCAGTTACTGTTTATGAAAGAATGAACCCATGACCATAATGTTAATGTTTATTTGTGTAGCACAGTTCATACACAACACAACTCTAAGTGCTGAACTAAACAAGACGGTGTTAAATAATCAGTACATTAAAATGAGTGAAGATACAATTGTGTGTGTGTGTGTTTATATGTGTGTGTCTATGTGTTTGTGAGTGAGTTTGTGTCGATGTGTGTGTGTGTGTGTGTCGATGTGTGTCGATGTGTGTCTATGTGTGTGTGTGTCTGTGCGTATGTGTGACTGTGTGTGTATCAATTTGTTTTCTTGTCTGTGCACGTGTCCATGTGTGTCCGTGAGTCCATATGTGTGTGCCCAATATATGTGTGTGTGTGTGTGTCCACTATGTGTGTGTGTCTATGTGTGTCTGTGTGTGTCTGTGTGTACAGTATCTATGTGTGTCTATGTGTGTCTGTGTGTGTCGATGCCAACATCGTCGAAACCGGATCAGAAACACACAACAGAAACACACAACACACATCAGAAACGCACATCTCCAATGTTCCCATCATCTGCATGAACCCAGAGACAGAGATTGTTTTCCCAAAGAGACAGAAGTCTCACTCTGACTTTTATTTTTCACTGAGACATGACACAGATTATTTTAGATTATGACAAGAAGCAAAATCTACATTTTTTTTCCTTAAAACTATTTATATTTCCACAGACGATTGGAATAAAAACAGTCTTTCTCTCCCTCGACATTTCCTCTTCGCCGTAAATCCCTCTGAAGGTTTTGGAAAGAAGCGAAACAAAATCGTTCCCATGTTTGGGATTATTCACTGTCACCGAACTCGAACGGAAAAACTATAACAAGGAAGCAGGGTTTCGTTGTACAGTCTGACAGTTACTGAACATTCTGCAGAAAGATTGTGTTTAGAATTTAGTCTATTCTTGAGTTAGGATTAGGTCTGGGACTGACACCAGGATCAGACAGACATTTATTTAATCTGGACTAAACAGATTTATGCTGCTACAATCTGGAACAGTCTTCCTGAAAATGCAGCAAGAAGGTCCTGGGTTCAACCTCCAGGCCTTTCTGTGTGGAGTTTGCATGTTCTCCCCATGTCGGCGTAGGTCTCCCCCAGGTGCTCAAGTTTCCTTCAGACTCTCCGGTTTCCTCCAGGTGCTCCAGTTTCCTCCAGATGCTCCGGTTTCCTCCAGGTGCTCCGGTTTTCTCCAGGTGCTCCGGTTTCCTCCAGGTGCTCCGGTTTCCTCCAGATGCTCCGGTTTCCCCCATCATTAAAAACGTTTAAATCTGGACACAAGATGAAGATTGCGTTAGAATATATATTTGTCAATATTACATGAGTAGAGACCAACAGATTTAGGTTGAGACTTAGATTGAGACTTAGATTGAGACTTAGATTGAGATTTAGATTGAGACTAAGATTGAGATTTAGATTGAGATTTAGGTTGAGACTAAGATTGAGACTAAGATTGAGATTTAGATTGAGACTTAGATTGAGACTTAGATTGAGATTTAGATTGAGACTTAGATTGAGACTTAGATTGAGACTTAGATTGAGACTTAGATTGAGACTTAGATTGAGACTTAGATTGAGACTTAGATTGAGACTTAGATTGAGATTTAGATTGAGACTTAGATTGAGACTTAGATTGAGACTTAGATTGAGACTTAGATTGAGATTTAGGTTGAGACTTAGATTGAGACTAAGATTGAGATTTAGATTGAGATTTAGGTTGAGACTAAGATTGAGACTAAGATTGAGATTTAGATTGAGACTAAGATTGAGACTTAGATTGAGACTAAGATTGAGATTTAGGTTGAGACTTAGATTGAGACTAAGATTGAGATTTAGATTGAGACTTAGATTGAGACTAAGATTGAGACGAATATATTTGTTGTACTAAGTTTTGCCGATTAGACCCCGGTGTGAAAACTGCATGAGTCTGCAGCAGGGAGTTTATTATAACTGATGATTGTGAACGCCCCGGGGCCTTGACCCTGGTGGCGAAGAAGCTGAGCTGAAGACATGACGCTCCACTGAGGAGGCGGAGACGGGGAGGAGGTGGGTTGCTGCTGGAACAGTAGCTTGAAGCTGCAGAGACCTGAGAGGCTCTGTTTAAAGACAGCCACGAAGAGATGACAAGCTCAGGTGTGTTACTGAGGCTGATTACAGAGCTCAGTGTGCAGAGGGGGAGGAGTCAGTACAGAGGGGGAGGAGTCAGTACAGAGGGGGACGAGTCAGTACAGAGGGGGAGGAGTCAGTGCAGAGGGGGAGGAGTAAATGCGGAGGGGGATTAGTCAGTGCAGAGGGGGAGGAGTAAGTGCGGAGGGGGAGGAGTCCGTGCAGAGGGGGAGGAGTCTGTACAGAGGGGGAGGAGTCAGTGCAGACGGGGAGGAGTAAGTGCGGAGGGGGAGGAGTCCGTGCAGAGGGGGAGGAGTCTGTACAGAGGGGGAGGAGTCAGTGCAGACGGGGAGGAGTCAGTGCAAAGGGGGAGGAGTAAATGCGGAGGGGGATTAGTCAGTGCAGAGGGGGAGGAATAAGTGCGGAGGGGGAGGAGTCCGTGCAGAGGGGGAGGAGTCTGTACAGAGGGGGAAGAGTCAGTGGAGAGGGGGAGGAGTCAGTGCAGAGGGGGAGGAGTCAGTGTGGCTGCATGGCTTCTCTTTTAGTCTTCCAGTCTGAATTTACGCTTAAGCTTAATGTACAACAGGTCTGAAAAGATAATAAATGGCAATCAAAGAAAAAGTGGCACATGCAAAAGCCAGATCCTGTCAGACCTCTGAAGCTAAGCAGGGCAGGGTCTGGTTAGTGCTGTTATGGGAGACCTCTGGGAACAGCAGCTGCCACTGTGGGGCGGCTGTAAAGTGTCAAACTGTTGTCGTGTCCTTACGCAAGACACTTCCCCCACATTAGAATGAGTCTGGTGTGTGTGTGGATGGTTGGTGGTGGGGGGAGGGGCTGATGGCACAGACTGGTTGCCTCGCTTCTGTCAGTGTGCCCCAGGGCAGCTGTGGCTACAGTAGCAGTTTTATCACCACTGTGTTTGGAGAGAAAGCATCTTTGAGCGTCCAGAAAAACAAAGTATAATTATCGCTGTTACACATGATTTCAGAATCTGATGGAGTGATAATTATTAACAGCAGTTTCCTGGAGCAGGTCTGACGTCCCACAGTCACGGAGCAGACGCCAAAACCTTCAAACAGAACACACTCGTTATTGGGGCTCAGAGAGAGAGAGCGAGGGAGAGAGAGAGAGGAAAAGAGAGAGAGAGAGAGAGAGAGAGAGAGAGAGAGATTGGGGCTCAGCGAGAGAAAGAGAGATCAGGGCGCAGAGAGAGAGAGGGAGGGAGAGAGAGAGAGAGGGAGATTGGGGCTCAGCAAGAGAGAGAGAGAGAGATTGGGACTCAGCGAGAGAGGGAGGGGCAAAAAGAGAGACAGAGAGAGAGAGACCAGACAGAGAGAGAGAGACTGGGGCTCCTGCCACTTAGACCCAATTATGAGGCAGAGCTTTTGGTGCCACAGTCTCCTTTTCTGACCTAATCTAAATTTAAACAGTTTGTTGCCATAGGCTACATGCCACAGAGACACAGGTACATATAGACACAGAGACACAGGTACATATAGACACAGAGACACAGGTACATATAGACACAGAGACACAGGTACATATAGACACAGAGACACAGGTACAGAACAGGAAGTAAAACTAAAAATGAAACCACAGAAGACTACTGTCAAAATAAAACGAATTGAGAAATAATCCACACCAGGACCGGAGAACACGGAGCATTCCCAGCGTTCCTGAGATCCAGCCGTTAGCATCAGTTGCTCCGATCCGTTCTCCCGGGTCCAGGTCCTGCGGAGGTGAAGGTGCCACAGACTGAACCAAACAAACACTGAGCAGACGTTGCTTTGACGTTGCATCACTGCTGCAATGTTTTAAAGGAGAAGAAGACGTTTGAAGGTTCTGTCGGATCAAAGAGCGTTTAGCTTCTTTTCAACTGAGCTCAGATTAGCAAGCGGCTAATGTTGCTCCATGTCACGGCTTTGTAATTTAGAACGGTTTAAGCAGCTCTGCGTGTGTGTGTGTGTGTGTGTGTGTGTGTGTGTCTGTGTGCGTGTCTCTGTGTGTGTGTGTGTGTCTGTGTGCGTGTGTGTATGTCTCTGTGTGTGTGTGTGTGTGTTTGTATGTGTGTGTGTGTGTGTTTGTATGTGTGTCTCTGTGTCTGTGTGTGTGTGTGTCACTGTGTGTGTGTGTTTGTGTTGTGTATGTGTGTCTGTCTGTGTGCGTGTGTCTGTGTGTGTGTGTGCGTGTGTGTCTCTGTGTGTGTATGGGTGCGTGTCTGTGTGCGTGTGTCTGTGTGTGTGTCTGTGTGTGTGTCTCTGTGTGTGTGTGTGTGTGTGTCTGTGTGTGTGTGTGTTGATTTGTCGGAGCACAATCCAATATTTATAATCAGTTAAATATTAAATGTCATGTTCACTGTTTCATTGTGTCATAAATGTGTTATTGCAACATTTCTCTGGGAAAGAAGTCAATTCTGTTTTTGTCACGTGTTTAGTTGTTACTAATGATAATAATGAATTGTTTATGAACGCCCAAAGACGCTTCATGTGTCATTATTCACTTTAGAACAGATTCAATCGTATGGTTTTCCTGAGAAAATAAGCTTTAAATTAAAGCCGCAAGCGGCGATGAAAGGCCTCGCCCCTCTTGCGACCGCCTCCTGGGCGCCAGTCCCACAAGCGTCACGCCGACGAATTGGCAGCCCGATCTGACCAGGATTACGTATATAAAAGCTCATTTATATGATAAAGTGCGTCCCTAGTGGTCACCTCCGGGACATGCACCCTCTACGTAGAGTAGTATTTTGCTCGTACAGATGTAAAGATTTGATTTTGCAACTTTGGTGAAGATTGGAAAAGTTTAGGTCAGAAGCCTTCCATAGGTGGCGCTGTAGAGTCATATTAGGTGTGTGTTTTCACACCATGTGAAAGGTGTAGGACTTTGAAACGTGTTTGAAATGATGCTTCATGAACTATGAACTATGAACTATTTGAGTCTTTCGGTCAATTGTGTTGATACAACAAACACATCCAAAGTAATACAATTCTACAGAAAGTGATTAATTGAGGAAAAACTACCAAGAGGTGGATTAATTAAAGCCAACAAACCATTTATTCCCAATAAATAAATACATTTACTTTGCAACACAAAAGTTATTATGGGTAGACCGGGACTCAAACGATATACAGTATCTTCTGCTTCGGAGTCTGTCATAGACCGACTGTGCCACACAGCTGTTGTGAGATGTATTATCCAGCGTATTATTAGTACTAACTTGAAGCCTTGATATATGAGGATTTACTAAAGTGAAACGTTTTTAATTTTATTTCATATGAAGTTGTTTCTCTATACTTAGTACAGGACTGCTCCACATCACGCACACACGTACGCACACACACACACGTACGCACACAGAGGCAGACGGGGACAGCCAATACAGTCTATGGTACAGCCGCGGATCACAAAGCACCTGTCAAAGCAATGCACTCTCCGAACGTTATGAAGCACTATATGAACCGTGACGTGGTGCGGCCGCTACGCGAGGCTTCGAACGTCACCAACACACGCCTCGAACCACGCTACAAAAAATACGCCCCTTTTTTACTCGGTACACGCTTCGAAGGCCCGGCACGCTCAGCACATCACTAGCATGAACGGAGAAGGAGGACGCGGAGTAGGAGCAGCCCTTAATCAATGGTAAACTAAAGATCCATGTGAAAAAAATTACTTCTCACTGTTCTCAGGTCAAATATTTATATGTGACTGAAATGCGATTAATTGAGATTATTAATTACAAAGCCTCTAATTAATTAGATTTTTTTTTTTTATCGCGTCCCGGCCCTAGTAATAATGTAAACTGAGCCTAAAACAGTCTTCATCAAACTAACCCAAAAACAGTAGAGCCTGACCCTGGGAATAACCCCAGTTAGCAAAGTCCTAGTCCAGGGCTTTAACCACTACACAACACTAGAGCTCACCATGTCAATTTATAGGGTCCTAGGTTTTCAGTGTAGCACAAAATTAACAAATGAAATGCAAAATGTTGCTGATTGGCAGTGTCAAAACTGTCTGACATTTAACACAGACAAAACCGTTTCAATGTATATTACACTAAGTGTGTATAAGTGTACACTGTCCCTTTTCAAATAAAGTACATACAATACCATACAATACAATCAGTAGGAAGACTCAGCAGCCTGTTTCACTATAATTTGTATTAAGGCAAAAGGTGCCCCCCTGGTGGTCAGGTCGGGTATTGTAGCTCTGAGTGTAATAAGACTATATAATAGTAATAATGGACTCAGACTTGAATTTCAATAGCCACATATCATCTGTGACATCATCAGCTTACTTCCACCTAAGAAACATTGCTAAAATTAAAAACATTGTGTCTAAAGCAGACTTGGAGATTCTTATCCACGCATTTGTCTCCAGTCGATTGGACTACTGCAATGGCTTGTTCACAGGTCTCTCTAAACAAGCGGTAAAACAGCTGCAGTACATCCAAAATGCTGCAGCTCGAGTCCTGACTAGAACCAGGAAGTACGACCACATTAGTCCGGTCCTCAGGTCTCTGCACTGGCTTCCTGTGGCTCAGAGAATAGATTTTAAAGTAGCTTTACTTGTGTACAAGTCTCTCCATGGCCTCGCACCAGGGTACATCCGCGACATGTTGGTGCCATATGAACCAACTCGGGCTCTGAGGAGCACAGGGACTGGACTTCTGTTAGTGCCAAGAGTCGGAACTAGACATGGGGAGGCTGCGTTTCAGATTCATGCAGCTAGAGTCTGGAACCGTCTTCCCGAGAGTGTGAGACAGGCGTCTACTCTAGCAGTTTTTAAAACTGAACTGAAAACAGTTCTTTTTAGCTGTGCATACAAGTGAATGATTTTACATTTGTTTTTATCTTTAATCTTTTTAATGCGCTATGATTATTTATGATTATTTATGATTATTTATGATTGTAATCCCTTGTGTGATTTTAATTTTTTACGGTTTTTAACTACTTGTGTAATTTTATATATCTTGTGCTCTTAATCTGTCTTTTTATGTTTACTCAAATTCTAATGTTTGATGATTTATGCATGATGTTATATGGGTTGTGAGGCGCTTTGCGTTGCCTTGTGTAGGAAAGGCGCTCTATAAATAAACGTTGATTGATTGATTGATATGAAAGAAACTGCTTACTTGCATGAAAACGGTGAAGATTTTCTAACTTTTATGCGATGATTGCATAACTTCAATCCGTCCGGATGGAGAAATGACATGGTAGAAGTCTGTGCGATGAAAATCCAGGGACTAGTACGAAGCCAAAAATGCGACACCTTGAACTGCCTGTAGGTGGCGCTGTTGCACTCACAGTTGTGTGTTGTATATCGTTGTGTTCAGGGTCATACGCTGTATTACTGAATTCATTTTTGGCCTCATCGGACAAACATTTTGCCCTAAAAAAGCTCATTTATTCACTTTCCGACGCCCCCGGTGGTCAGGTGTGGGACGTACAACTTTTGCGTAATGTAATGTTTTGCTCGTCTCGGTCCAGAGAATACACTCAGCAATTTTCGGGCCGATCCGAGCACTAGTGCCCTATTACTTTCCGAGAGGTGGCGCTAAAGAGCTCAAATTGGGCGAATGATTTTAGTGTCATTGCGTTCAGGCCATAACCTAATATTACTGATGTGAGTCTCAGCTCTGTAGGTCTGAGCCTGTGGCCCTCAGGGCTCAGCGAAAATGGCCAAAACGAAGGCCTTATTCGCCATGGCGAGGGACGAAAACTGTGAAGATTTTCTAACTTTTTTTCGATGATTATATAACTTCAATCCGTCCAGATTGGGAAATGACGTGGTAGAACTCTGTGTGATGAAAAACCAGGGACTAGTTCGAATTTCTAAATGAAAAGTCAAATTAGTGGCGAAACTTTGGCCCATCATGGCCGACTTCCTGTTGGTCCCAGACATGTGCTTAGACCGGCTTTTATGCTCGCCTCATAGAGATCTATCACTCATCCGAATTTTGTGTACCTACTCCAAAATATGCAATCCTGCCTCAAATAGAAATGGCAAATTTTGAATTTTCAAGGGGGCGCTATTGATTCGCCTTTTGTCGGACAATCTCGAAACGTCCGTTTTATCAAATTATTCGCCGGACCGGTCGTTTTAGACCCCCCATGTGCAGACTTTCGTGCATGTCTTCAGGGTCAAAAATCGAATTGAAGATGTGTAAAAAAAAGAATAATATTAAAGCCGCAAGCGGCGATGAAAGGCCTCGCCCCTTTTGCGACCGCCTCCTGGGCGCCAATCCCACAAGCGTCACGCCGACGAATTGGCAGCCCGATCTGACCAGGATTACGTATATAAAAGCTAATTTATATGATAAAGTGCGTCCCTAGTGGTCACCTCCGGGACATGCACCCTCTACGTAGTTGTGTTTTCACACCATTACGTAGCCTGGTCTTTATCTCTGGTCTCTCTCTGGCCTCTCTCTGGTCAATCTTTGTTCTCTCTCTGGTCTCTCTCTCTGGTCTCTCTCCCTCTCTCTCTCACCAACACTCCATATTAAAGGGCCCCTCTCTCTCTCTCTCTCTCTCTCTCTCTGACGTCGGTGCAGGTAAAGCATTGTTCTGTGGAGCCCGTGGATCGACCTGACGCGGCACAAACACAGCTGCAGATTCTTCGTGTTATTGACCTTGCGGTGCATAAACCCGGCAGGTGCGGCCGCGTGCGCACACCGATAAAACCTGGCTGTATTAATTAGAATTTACCGCACAAAGCCTCCTTGTTTACAGACGCCAATCGCACACGCCGTCCCCCGTTGGCGAACCGTTCAAAGGCGATGGCGGCAACTGCACTGGAAACGGTT